CCAACCTGGGGTGTGGTGAGAGGAATCGATTTTCAACTCAAAGGAAGCAAAACATTTTAAAAGTAAGTTTTTTTCACTTTGGTTGAGTCGATGATATTTCAGGACGTCATTGAAGCTGTGAACAGGAACGGAAATACTGGAAACAGGAAAAGGAATGCAGCAGGACATTTTGATTTTCTCCATAAATAACCCTAGTGAAAAAATCTTAGGGTGCGTTCCTTTGGGAGAATCCGGATCAGGATTTCTGATCTGCGGCGTTCCTTTTGAGCAAATTCATTTTCAGATCAGTGATCTATCAAATCCACTCTGGACAAGGATTCCTCGGTTCACTGATCTGCGCGATCTAAATACGGATCATTGGATCACTGATCCAACGCGTTCCTTTGGAAGAAGGATCGGACATTAATTATTTTGCCCAGCGGTGCTCAATTTTAAACACGTAGGTATTTCATATATTGACCGGAAAGATTGTTGGCAATCGCTCCACAAATTCTGCGATAAACTCGAAATAAAATCGATTTTGTTATGTTGAATCGATCGGCCACTGATCGCAGGCATTCAGGGTTCCCAAGTATCCATATCGTAATCAATATCTGTTTCTGTTTTAATTCCATCGTTTGAGTTTACCATGAAGAAATGTGCTTCTAATAAATAGTGCGTGCTAAAAGCCCGTGCAATAAGACGAACCATTCAGGGAAGAGCTCACTAACCCACGAGCTAAGTCTTAAAATAGCGTACTTTTTGGAATTCTCTGAGAGCTCGTCTGAAACGTCGTTCCTTTCGCGCACCGTGATCTGTGCGATCTTGTATCACAAATCCAAATCCGGATCCTCCTAAGGGAACGCACCCTTAGTAATAAAGTCATGGTTAAGCATTTCTGGATAGTAGTATTAAGTATTACCATCCTTAAATATATAAATACTGGTCTTCGTCGTTGGTTTGCCTTTAGGACGAAAGCGTTTCTAATTTGTCATCATCTCATTTGTCGTTTTCCGTCCCGATGAATAAAGATAACTTTCAGAAACACCTTTTTTATTATTATTTTTTCAATTTTCTACACGGTTCCTTCATTTGTTCGCATAATACCAATAACAAAA